ATAAGAATATTTTTGGCACATAATTGACTCCAAAATACACAAACTCATTTTGTGGGCTCAACCCCAATAGTGCATTGGTTGGTGACTATATGTATATGAATGAGAGAGAAGAGAGAGTGAGAGATTTATTTATTCTTTTACCTTTGGCCTTTCTTATGTGGACTTACATATTTTAAAAGGAGACAAGAGGTTAAAGAAAAGGAAGATGCTTTACTTTCCAAATTAAGAATAAAAAATAGTAACAAATTGAGGAAAACAAGAAGCACATAATATATACAATCATGTAAAGGTTATAAAATGACTTATATGGGTGCACCCCTTGCCCTTAGTACAATGAACCTTCCCTTCCCTAGAATATGTAATGCTTAAGAAAAACATGATTCTCTTCTTCCTTGGGTTTACAACCATAACAAAATCTATCTTTTTTTTTTTTTTTTTTTTTCTTTCCTGGGGTATTACAAACCATACAAAATCTAATCTTTTTTTTTTTTTTTTTGGAGACAAGAAAAATATTTTTTTTTTTTTTTTTTTTGGAGAACAAAAAATATTTTTTAAATATTATGTGATGAAATAGATATTGATTATCCTTGTTAAAATAAAACAACTTGTAAACAAATTTTCCTAATCCATTTGATTTTTAAAAAATATTTTTAATGAAATATTTTTTAAGTTATGCTTGTTTTCAACAAAAAAATATTATATATATAAAAGAAAATTAATTATTTGATATTTTTTCGCTTGAGTTTGAGGAATTCTATTGAAGATGTGTTTTTCTTTCTTTTTAAATGTTTCCCGCCGATCAAATTGTTAAGTTTGGAATTTTTCTCTCTATAACTATAAGTATTTTTCCATAAATTCAATCCTTGACCTTGTAACGGTCATCTATTATTTTAGTGTATCTTATCACTTGAATTACTCTTTATAAATACGATATTTTTAATTACTTAGTGCTAGCAAAATTAATTATTATTAGGAGCACTTAAGTTCACTCAAATTATGTTTAGTAAATTATTATTAAAAAATAATTTTGAACTATTAAAAAAAAACAAAATTCTCCACTATTACATAAGTGCATGACAACATGACTTCAAAGATTTATTAGTGTATTTTGTCTTTCATATTGATTCCTAATTTGAAATGTTAAAAGGTTGTCAACTAACTTCTCAATTGAAATGGTACCACATATTCTAATTTGTCTCTCTCTCTCTCTTATATATATATATTAGTGTATTTTGACTACCACTTTGAATTCTTCAATTCTATTATAACTAATTGTCCATTCTCAAGTTTAAAGTACCACTCATAAATTTAAAAAATAATGGGCATAAAAGCTAAGTTTCCTTATATGCAATACATTATATGAGAGTTGAATAATTAAAGAAAAATTATCTAATGAAAAGATAAATGCATGCACCACTTAACCTTTCTTTTAAAAAAATTCATTGGAGGTATTTATGGGCTGAAATAACACTACGGTCTATATAATAGCGATATCCCTCCCCTTAACTCACTAGATTGGTGAAAACAACTGTGGTTGAGAAAATTTGAGAAGACTAACTGGACCACTGCGTAATTAACTTTTAATTGTTTGAGTTTGTAAATTGATGGATTATATTAACCTATTTAACCTTATTTCCATTTTTAGGGGCCAATGTGCTGTCATATGATTAATTTAGACTCGAGTGTTAAATAATTTTTTATGTAGTCAATAGAATATTCAAAATTTATGAACCAATATATGATTTAAACAACTCTTTAAAAGTTGAATTTTATAATATAATTTAGATTCAAACGTATGTATGATAAATACTTATTTATATAAAAAATTTCTGAAATTTGAAATGCATGACATGAATGGATAAACAATAAATCAATAAATCCAACAACCACTTTGCAAAAATATGAAATATATATGAATGGATAAAACAATAAATCAATAAATCCAACAAACCACTTTTGCAAAAATATGAAATAGTATATATATATATATATATATTAATTAATTTAAATTTCATATATATATATATCCAAAGTGCCTTTAATCATAGATTTTGTTATTGAGACAGATGGAAAAAACAAAAATAATATCCAAAGTGCCTAATCATAGATTTGATTATTGGAGAAGATGGAAAAAACAAAATAAAGACATTAGACAACATTGAACTTATCCTTTGATGTGGCATGATGTTGGTCTTGTTAGAAACGATTTAGTCAACATGAGCTTTCATGTTTAGATAAACCTTAATTATTAGATGAAACGAATTTTATGGTCCAATAATTATATTAAGTCATAATTAATAATTGTTTTATCTTTTTCATTTTAATTTTATAATAAAATGATAATATAAATCAATTTTATTAAATTTGTTCCTTAATTTATTTAATAACAACAAAAATTCAAAGCAAACCCATCATTTTCCTACTTAATTATAATAATTGATACTCATATTTTAACTTAATTTTATTTTTAAAACGAAGACAATAAACTATATAATAAATATTAAGACAAGGGTTTTGGGTTCATCAACGAACAATCATGACGTAAATCATACTTAAATCTTCTTGAAAACTTAATTTAATTTTATTATCATGCCCCATCCAAATAATATAAAACAATTTGAATGATTCCAAATGTAATCTAGAAGCAAGCGATCACAAAACCAATGGCTATAAATAAATTAAACTTATTTATAAATTAAAAAAAAAATACATTTGAAGTCAAAAGTTAAAAATAAATAAACTCTCTTAATACGATGAAATTGAATATTAATATTATTTATGGCTATATAAAAATAATAATAAATATTTCTTTTTGTTTCCACCACATGATAGGACTAATTTACATTTTCCTAACTTTGTATATAAAATTCATACAAAAAAAATATATATTCTCTTGATTCAATTGTCTGCTCATAAATATTTATTTTATAAAATAGTTTTAATAAAATACAATACAATGCAATGTGTCTTTTGTAAAAGAGTCATGCTACCTGTTACAATTGATTATATTTCCTATCAAAATTAAAAAAAAAATAATAATATCTTACATTTATGAGAAATGAACGTAATAGGTGAAGCACTAAAAACAAACTACCCTAGAGTCGCATTCGTAGCAATTTCTGAAATAAGAATGTAATAATGTAATAATGTAATTTGCAACCTACTAATAATACTAACACTACCGTCTACCGATGGGTTAGGTCTACGATCTACCCCATTAATAATTATTAAGTTGACACAATTCTCATATTCCTCCCCAACGCCATACAAAACTACACAACTACTGGTCACTTTCATTAGGATTAGTATTCAATTTCTCCACTATAATTTCATCTTTCATATATAAAATTACTCTCTTTCTTCTTAAATACTCTCTCTGTCCCAAAATATAAGTCGTTCACTCAAAATGTAATAAAATTTTTTTCGATAACTAACAGTTATTGCTTCGATTCTTTAAAGGTATTTGGATATATTAAATTAAAGTAATATAGTCAACTGACTTAATCTTTTATTATCTTAGAAAAATTTAATAGTTTTTTTAAAGAACGTGAAATTTTAAATGTAACAAACTTAAAAAAACGGAAGGACTATGTTATTGATTTTTCTAATTGTTGGTTGCTTACGTGCATAAATTAGTAAAAAAATAGGTCAAATTAGTTTTTTAATTGGAAATTCTTATTAAACACGATATATATTTTTTTAAAAAATATATATATACAAATAAAATTTTTAGATAAATTATACGTCGAGTATCAAATATCAATTGGTGGATAAATTAAAGTATTATTCTTTTTTTTAAGTATGGTAATATTACCGTAATACCCTTTTATTTTATATATACAATAATGAAAAAGAAGAAGAAGACGGCATTCATTTTCAATATAAGAGCAGAGACACGTGGCCATCAGCTGACAGGAGGTCCACCACAAGGGAAGGTTAGCGTCAACAGTACAGCAGGACTGCCGGCGCACATTAGCACCGACCGAAGCCACTGCACTTTTTGGACTTTATGGTTTAGGTGGTGGGGAATTTGCAATGGCTAATATGACTTAAATGCCCACATGTGAAAGACAAACCCCTCCCAAGAGGGACTCTCTCTCTATAATGTCAATGTTTGCCCCCACACCCCATCTCCACTTCCCAACAAATCACATTATCCAAATTAAATAATAATAACAATAATAAAACTCAACATTGTCTATGTGGCAAATGATTCCTTGACCAAATGACTAAAGAGCATTCAATTTCGATTTGGACCAAATTGATTATACAAATTTCGATTCGATTTACATCTAAAAGAAACTTTTTGTCCATTCGTTACGATTTGGACCAAATTGATTAATTGGATAAATGATTGAAAGATGAGTAATTTGCTTCAAATTACATCTCAAAATTTTTAATTAATTTCAATAATAACAAAAAAAAAATATTCAAACGCTAAAAGAAAGATTTTGTATTGGGATAGATCCAATAATAAAGACTTTGAAATTAAATGATTATGAAAAGGGGAAAAAGAAAAGAAAAGAAAAGAAGAAAGAAAAAAGAGCTAATGCCACCGTAACAGCAAACATAAAGGGGGGGGGGGGGGAAGAAAAAAAGAGCTAAGCCACCCGTAAACAGCAAAACATATAAGGGGGGGGGGGGGTTATTTAAAGAGGGCCGGGGGGGGGGGGGTATTAAAGAGGCCAATCCTCTTAAAAAAGGACAGTGTACTATGAAGGTAAAGAGCAATGAATACGAATCAACTGCCCAGTCAGTCAGTCAGGCAGTCCACTCCTTTTGTAAGAAAGACCAAACCCTAATTTATTTGTAAACGTACTTTTCTCTGTTCAACATTATCTCAAGACTGCTTCAAAGTTCAATTCAATTCAATTAAACTAGACATGTATGTATATGTATGACCAAATAATAATACTATGTGAACAAGAAATGCAGAGGATTAAGGATATTTATAAGAATTTAAATAAAAGAAAAGAAAAGAAATGGAAATGAGGACAAGGGAAAAAAAAAATATATGGGGATAATTTTTATTGATGAAAAGAAAACAACAATATTAATAACATAATTTTTATCCTTGTTTCACTAACCCATAAAATACCCACCAGGCATCTCATTTATCCAATCTCCCTCAAGCCTTCCAATTCTTTCTGTATATATCACATATATACATGTACAAAGATCCTCTTCTACCAGCCTGCCAGTCACTCTGTCTCTCTCTCTCTGTAATACAACTAGGGAGCCACCTTAATCAATTGTACATTTCTTTCTTTTTATTATTATTTTTTTTCATTCTTTGTTTGTGAAGCAAAGGTGGGGTGGGGGGGATACAAGAACAGGCTGGCCTACAAGAAAATGAAAAAGAAGTGCCAAAAAAACATACAAAAAAAAATTAACAAAAAGAAATGGGAGGAAGAACATGGAACCAGAGATTAATGACGAATGAATGAATAAATTAAAAACGGCTAAAGGAGAACTAAGCTATCTCTCATGGTTCTTCTGGCAATGGCCGCCAATGGGGATTATTATGTAGCTCTTGATTTATGTGACAAGTATCTGGTAATCCTTACATGGTGGAGAGGAGGAAAGACTGGAGGGCAGTGAAGAGTTCCCATCAAGTAGGGTGTTTTGCTTGGCAAAGAAGGAAACATGAAAACTTGAAGAATAGTGATACAAGTGAAGCCATGAGTTTCAAAAGCTGTAATGCCTCACCGAATGTTCTAACATATCACGACTTGGGCAAACTATCTCCTTCACTCGGCTACCGTTTTTGTATATCTTGAATGTCGGTACAATCCTCACATTCTCAGCATTTGCAATTGTTGGGTGGTCTTCAATATCCACCTATCACAAACACCACCAGATGTATCTAAGAAAAATACTTTCTTCCTTGCTCTCAGCTAAAGTTAAAGATCAATTTGGAATGCATAGTGCTAATGAGTTGGTAATTTACCTTGAGAAAATTTATGGATGGATATCGAATGCATAGTGTATCCACAAATGGAGATATTTGTTTGCAGTGCAAATTAGAGGATGATTTGAAATGAACAACTGAGACACCTGTAACCCAAGAATTCAATTATATTAAGAATCGAGGGATGAATGAAAATGGAAGCAATATAAGCAAAAGAAAAAAAAAAATTAATGCATAAAATATGCAGCAGGCTTACCTGGCAAAGATATTGCAGCTCTGAACTGCTCTAGCCCCAATATTTCCTCCACTTCGCCACCGAACTTCATATTATACACTTCTTCTCCACGAGACTTCTTCAATGCAACTTGCGCATGAAATAGAGATTCGGCAACTTCATTGTCCTCTGGTAGTTCCCTTCTTAGAACCTCATAATCCCTCACTGCGTCAGCCCACCTCTCTAGCTGTTTTATGATAGTTCATAGACTTAATTAGCACATATGTATATGAATATATAATTATATAATCTTATGTGTGTAAGCAAATTGCCAAAAAAAAAGATATGCTTTAAGGATCATACCTTACTATTTGAGGCAGCTCTTCGAAGAAGGGCTTTTGCATAATTAGGTTGGATGTGTAATGCTTGGTTGCAGTCATCAATAGACCTCTCCCATAGCCCAAGCTTAAACCAACAAGCAGCTCTGTTGCAATAGAGAACAGAGTTTGAAGGGTCAAGCTTGAGGCCTTCCCCATATGCTGAGCAGGCTTCAGTGAACCTTTCAGATTTAAAGAGATCATTGCCTCGAGCACGAGCTCTAACCACTAATCTAACATTGTGAAGCAGCACTGCTACTTCAACATTTCGTGGATCAATCTGTCCAGCTTTCTCAGCGGCTGTAAATGCATGCTCAAACCTGCAAGACATCCATCATCTATTCTCAATCTCCAAAAAACCTTCAGATATTTACTGCTGACAGTGCTTTTGATATCTGAACTCACCTTCCTAATGCCATTTCAATCTGAGCTCTAACTAAGTAGGTGTATGCTTCAGACAGCATCCCGAAAAACCTGCTTTGTGAGCAAGAATTCGTATATGGTTCTAATTTTGGAATGTTCGATAGGCATGATTCAGCGTCTCGTAGCTGATGGAGCTTCAAAAGAGCTTCAGCTCTACACATAAAGAGCTGTGAATTCAAATTGAACCAGTTCAGCCATTTACTTATTTATCTTCAACGTTAGTTAAGCCAATTTCACAAGAAAAATTGCAGATACTACTGCTCATTACCTGAGGAGAATAGTCAGCTCCAGCAGCAATAGCAGCCTCACATTCCCTTAAAGCATTTTTCCAGTCATTAACCTTTCGGGCATCTGAACATTTGTTTAGATGTTTCTCTACTAACTGCAATTTCTGCAATTCAGAAGGATCTGGATGATGCCCAGGAATGCATAGGTGCCTCCTGGCATTCTCAATCTGTCCTAACCTGCAATAAGACCAAGTTAAGTGAGCACAGCTCAAAAGTCATATGCACCAAACTTTTTGCTGCATAATGCATGAGAAACAAATGGAGAGTTACTCTCAACTAAAAATTACAATGGACCTATGCAAACATACAAGCATAGGACACGAAAGATGGAGAAAAATTTTGTTACAGAAGATGCATCAATAGATCTATTTGGGCACTAAATATGCCCATATACAGCATCCATGCTTCATATGTGACTCAAATTATATATAGCACTACGAAACATTCAAATAGCAAAGTATGCAGCAACCAAATGAGACAACCAAATAACAAAATCAACCAAATATATACCGATAAGGCATTAAGGCATCAATACAAATAAAGACAGAAGGACATAAAGTTAGAAGGTATAACACTGGGAAACATAAATATTAAACATGGGAATTTTGTGAATTAATGCAAATCAAGATTAGAAAAATGAAAGCATGATAAACAGCAGATAATCAGATTATTCACAAAGGTAAGGGTGCAAAGAATACAAGACAGTGTCAAAACTCAACAGTCATATCAAACAAACAGTCAAATGTAGACACATGAAGCAGATTTAGCGATCCAAAAAAGAACCATTTTGACCAATAAAGATAAACAATCAGCAAAACACAAACGGTGCACAAGAGCCATCTTCTCAAAGCATCAAACAAAATTCATCACAGTTTCAAATATCACACACAAAAATTACAGATAAAATATCCAAAATCCAGAAACTGGAGTATTCTACAAGTCAATTTACAAAAGAAATACATCCACACCAAGGAGTATTTTAACATTACCAAAAGCTCAGAAATTCACAAAGAAAAATTAACTATATAGAATAGCACAAGAAACAGAAAATAAAAGAACTTCACACTCATAATTAATTCCAGTCAATGCAGATTAAAAAACACCAAAAGTTCACAAAAACTAAGTAAATTACGGCCAAAATGCATAGAGAAGAGGGAAAAGTCTTGAAATTTGATTCAACTATTTAACAACCAACAAAATCCCATTAATGCAGATCAAATCAACACCAAAACTCAAACAAGCATCCAAAACACCTAAAATATAAAACCCAAAAAAAAGAACTGCACATACAAAAGCTCCATCTACAACTCACCTAATAAACAAAGACCCCAACCTCTGATGTGCCCTCCAATAATTAGGATCCAATCTCACTGCCTCCTCACACTCCATAACCGCCTCTGCCACTCTTCCTAAACCCATCAAAGCTGCAGCTCGGTTACTCCTGTAAGCTGCATTTCCCGGTGCCAAAGCAATAGCCCTATCGTAAAGCACCAACGCTTCTCCAAAATGGCCTTTCTTATACATTTCATTCCCTGCCTTCTTCACCTCTTCTGGATCCACACTTCCCATTCTTGCGCCACCAAAATTTCCACGCACAGTATTATTACTACTACCGACCAAATTTCCAGCATCTAAATTACTACATTTGCTCGGTCCACCACCCCGCATTATACTTCCGTGCCCATAATTTCCTGTTCCGGATCCCAAAACATCCGATTTGGAATTCCGATTGCCCATTACCATCCCTGTCTTTAAGATCCTCCCAGACGGACATATGTTACCAGTAGGGAGTACATTAACAGGTGCGGGAGAGTTTACCGAGCTCTGGCTGCCGCTAGCTGAGTATATTAGAGGGTCGGATCTGGAAGTACCCTGTCTTGGGTTTCTGATAGAAGTTGTAGGACTGGTTTCGCTGGAGTTAGAGAGCTCGCCGGAATGGTTGGATTTGTGAACTGGGTTATGAACGTTTCGACTACCAGATACGGATCCGGAGGAGCTAGAGCTGGAGCTAGTTGTGGTGGTTGTAGTGGTGGTAGCGGTAGTGTTAAGCCCACGAGTTCGGAGAGGAGAAACAGGAGAACCCAGATCAAGTTCTCGAAAATCGGGCTTGTTAGCCTCAAGAGAACATAGTGAGTCACGGAGCTGATCGGTTAATGAGTCTAGCCCTAGGTCCCCAATGGGTTTTCCAGAATGCGACATTTTCTCAGTAACCAAATGGAAAAAATACCAAAAGGCCGAAGTCAATTCTATATAGATATATGTATATCTCTCAACCTCTGGGTTATCCCTCTCCTTTAACCTTTCTCTCTCAGTTCTGTTAGCAATGTCCGTTAATGGGAATGGAAAGACCAAAAAAAGCAACACCGAATCGTATAACAGAGATATAAACAACACAAACCCAGAAATGTTTCTGAGGAAGACATTACAGATAGAGGGAAGGAAGAAAAGAAAGAGAAAGAGATGGGGATCTCGTGATATAAAAGGAAGAAGCAAAGAATGAATGTGAGTGTCAAGGCTATGGAAAGAGAGAGAAGAGATTGAAAGCGAGAGAATGAGAGAAGGGAAAGAGAGATTAACAGAAGGAAAAAAGAGAGAGAAAGAGAAAGGAAAGAAGAGAGAAGAGAGAAAAGAAAGAGCTTTTATTTTCTTTTCTTCGCCTTCACCTGCTGCTTCACGAGACAGGTTTCACTTCTCTCTCCTCTCCCTCACTCACTCTCTCTCTATCTATCTTTCTCTTTATTTCTCTCTATCTCTCTTTCTCATTTCTTCTAAAATCTAACTCTATTATAATTCCCTTTCTTTCTTGTTTTTAGTCTCAAAGGTAAGGGTACTCTCCACTCTCTTGTTTTTGGGAAAATCTTTCACACTCTTATAATTTAAATTTTCAATCACTCTTAATTAATTTTTAACACAAATTCATATATAACTATCAATTTATTTATTTCAACCAATAGTGGCTCATCAATGTGAAATTTTTATACCTAAAATAAGAATACAAACTTAAATTCGTGTATTAAAAAAAATCTCATATCTAGATTTTTGAAAAAGCCTTAGATACGGTAATTTTCTTAGCCTTTTTATGTTTGTCCATACAAATAAATAAATAATAGTGAAATTTTCACATTTTATTTTCAATATATTTATTTCAACGACTAGTAATCGACCGACGTGAAATTTTTATACCTAATACAAGAATACATTAAATTCATGTATTAAAAAAAATATCTCAAATCTAGATCTTAAAAAAGTTTTAAGATATGGTAATTTTATCGGTCTTTTTATATTCATCAATACACACTTTATTTATTTCAATCAACAGTAACGAACTGACTTGAAATTTTTATATCTAAAATAGGAACACAAACTTAAATTCGTCTATTAAAAAAAATCTCAAATCTAGATACTTAAAAAAAGCTTTAAGATATGGTAATTTTATCAACAATCTTTGTGTCCGTCGATAGACACTTAGTTTATTTCAACGAATAGTAACCGATCGACGTGAAATTTTTATACTTAAAATAGGAATACAAACTTAAATCCGTGTATTAAAAAAATCTCAAATCTAGATTCTTAAAAAAGTTTTAAGATATGATAATTTTATTAGCACTTTTTGTATCCGTCGATACTTAAAATAGGAATACAAACTTAAATCCGTGTTATTAAAAAAATCTCAAAATCAGATTCTTAAATCTAGATTCTTAAAAAAGTTTTAAGATATGATAATTTTATTAGCACTTTTTGTATCCGTCGATATACATTTTATTTATATGGTAATTTTATTAGCACTTTTTGTATCCGTCGATATACATTTTATTTATTTCAACAAATAGTAACCGGTCGACATGAAATTTTTATATCTAAAATAGAAATACAAACTTAAATTTGTGTATTAAACAAATATCAAACCTAGGTTCTTAAAAAAGCTCTAAGATATGGTAATTTTATCAGCATTTTTGTGTTTGTTGATACGCACTTTATTTATATCAATAAATAGTAATTGACAGACGTGAAATTTTTATACCTAAAATAGGATCACAAATTTAAATTTGTGTGTTAAAAAAATCTCAAATCTAGATTCTTAAAAAAGCTTTGAGATATGGTAATTTTATCAGCTATCTCTGTGTTTGTAGATACACTTTATTTATTTCAATAAATACTAATCGACCCATGTGAAATTTTTATACCTAAAATAAGAATACAGACTTAAATTCATGTATTAAAAAAATCTCAAATCTAAATTCTTAAAAAAGCTTGAAAATATGGCAATTTTATCAGCTCTCTTTGTGTTTGTTGATACACGCTTTATTCATTTCAACAAATAGAACACGAATACGAACTTAAATTTGTATATTTAAAAAAAAATCTCAAATCTAGATTCTTAAATCTCAAATCTAGATTCTTAAAAAAGTTTTAAGATATAGTAATTTTATCAGCTATCTTTGTGTTTATAGATACACACTTTATTTATTTCAAGAAATAGTAATCGATCCACGAGAAATTTTTATACCTAAAACAAGAATACAAAGTTAAATTCATGTATTAAAAAAAATCTCAGATCTAGATTATTAAAAAAGCTTTAAGATATGGTAATTTTATCAGCCCTTTTTGTATTCATCGATACACACTTTATTTATTTTAACAAATAGTAACCGACTGACTTGAAATTTTTATATCTAAAATAGGAACACAAACTTAAATTCGTGTGTTAAAAATATCTCAAATATAGATTTTTAAAAAAAGCTTTAAGATACGGTAATTTTATCAATCCTCTTTGTGTCTGTCAATACACACGTTATTTATTTCAACAAATAATAACCGGACGATGTAAAATTTTTATACCTAAAACAGGAATAAAACTTAAATTCGTGTATAAAAAAAAATCTCAAATCTAGATTCTTAAAAAAGCTATAAGATATGGTAATTTTATCAACGTTTTTTGTGTCTGTCGATATACATTTTATTCATTGCAACGCACCGTAATCGACCATCATGAAATTTTTATCTTTAAAACATGATCACAAACTTAAATTCTTGTATTAAAAAAAAAAAAACTCAAATCTAGATTCTTAAAAGAACTTTAAGATATGGTACTTTTATCTGCCCTCCTTATGTCCATCGATACATGCTTTATTTATTTCAACAAATACTAATCAACCAATGTGAAATTTTTATTCCTAAAACAGGAATACAAACTTAAATTCGTGTATTAAAAAAAATCTCAAATCTAGATTCTTAAAAAAGCTTTAAGATATGATAATTTACCAACCTTTTATCTGTGTCCGTCGATACACACTTTATTTATTTCAATAAATAGTAACCGTCCAACGTGAAATTTTTATACCTAAAACAAGAATACAAACTTAAATTCATATATTAAAAAAAATCTCATATTTATAATTTTAAAAAAGTTTTAAGATACGGTAATTTTATCGGCCTATTTGGTTTTCTTCCATACAAACAAATAAACAATAGTCAAACCTTCACACTTTGTTTATCAATTTATTTATTTTAACCTATAGTAACTGAGGGGCACAAAATTTATACCTAGAATAGGAATGTACACTTAAATTTATTATATTAAAACTAATTTCTTATCTAGATTTTTGAAAATTTTAAGATACAGTAATTATTCAGTTCTCTTTGTGCTTTAGTGCAAACAAACACAAAATTGTGAAATCATCATATTTTATTTATCAATTTATTTATTTTACCTTATAGTGATCGACCAAGGTGAAATTTATACCTAAAAAATAGAAATGCAAGCATAAATTTATATACTAAAAATAATCTCATGTTCAGATTCTTAAACGCTTTAGAAATTAGGATATTGTAATTATACCAGCTCATTATGTATCTGTGCAACCAAATACAAATTAGTGAAAACCTCATACTTTATTTATCAATTTAATTATGTTAAGCAATAGTATCGACGGGTGCGAAATATCTAAAATAGAAATACGCTTAAATTTATTATACTAAAAAAGAATCTCGTATCTATTAACAAAATGTCAGTCGGGGTGTTAAGCACTTTATAGTCTTAGTGAGATTACAACCTGACTATACCAAAAAAAATCTCACATAGATTTTTTAAAGGTTTTAAGATATCATAACCGATGGGCGCAAAATTTATACTAAGATTAGAAATGTACATTTAAATTTGTTATACTAAAAAAAATCTCACATCTAGATTGTTGAAAGTTTTAAAATATGATATCATATCAGCTAGTTGATACATTAGTGCAATCAAAAATAAAATAGTGAAATCCTCACACTTTATTTATTAATTTATTTATTTCAACTAACAGCTTATACCTAAACAGAAATGTAAACTTAAATTTATATACTAAAAAAATCTCATATTTAAAATGTAAACTTAAATTTATATACTAAAAAAATCTCATATTTAGACTTTAAAATATAAAATAGTGAAATTCTACAATTTATTTATTTCACGGGTGCAAAATTTATACCAGAATAGAAATTTATACTTAAATTTATTATACTACAAAAAAATCATATCTAGATTTTGTACAAATTTTTTAAGATACAGTAATCTACTGGCGCAAAATTTATACCTAAAATATAAATGTATACTAAATTTATTATACTAAAAAATATAATATCTAGATTTTTAAAAGTTTCAAGATACGGTCATTATATCAATTTTTATTGTACCAAGCACATGACAGTGAAATCCTTATATTTTATTTGTCAATATTTTATTTCAATTAATAGCGACCAACCAACATGAAATTTATATCTAAAGCAGAAATATAAGCTTAAATTTATATATCAAAAAAAAAAAATCTCATATTTAGATTTTTAAAAGTTCTAAGATAAAGGTAATTATATCAGCAATCCTTATGTGTCCGTATAGATAAACACAAAATAGTGAAATCGTCATAATTATTTATCAATTTATTTATTTCGCGAGTACAAAATTTATACCTAGAATAGAAATGCATACTTAAATTTGTTTTACTACAAAAAAAAAAATCTCATATCTATATTTTATACTAGTTTTAAGATACGGTAATCTACTGGCGCAAAAATTTATACCTAAAACATACATGTATATTAAAATTTATTATACTAAAAAAAAAATCTAACCTCTAGATTTTTAAAAGTTCAAGATAAGATCATTATATCAACTTTTATATATTATACTAAACATATGACAGTGAAATAATTAGACTTTATTTATCATTTTTTTATTTCAACTAATAGTGACCAACCAACGGGAAATTTATATCGAAAGTAGAAATACAAGCTTAAATTTATATACCAAAAAAAATCTCATACTTAGATTTTTAAAAGTTCTAAGATAAGATAATTATATCAGCAATCTTTATGTGTCCGTATAGAAAAGCACAAGATAGTGAAATCGTCGTAATTATTTACCAATTTATTTATTTCACAAGTGCAAAATTTATACCTAGAATAGAAATGCATACTTAAATTTGTTTTACTACAAAAAAAAAAATCTCATATCTATATTTTATACTAGTTTTAAGATACGGTAATCTACTGGCGCAAAAATTTATACCTAAAACATACATGTATATTAAAATTTATTATACTAAAAAAAAAATCTAACCTCTAGATTTTTAAAAGTTCAAGATAAGATCATTATATCAACTTTTATATATTATACTAAACATATGACAGTGAAATAATTAGACTTTATTTATCATTTTTTTATTTCAACTAATAGTGACCAACCAACGGGAAATTTATATCGAAAGTAGAAATACAAGCTTAAATTTA